GCTTTGGTTTGATTGAATATCCCTCACTGCTTTGGTTCGAGTGGGTTTTTAAGTGAACCCTAGTGCCGTGCAGGCTGAAGATGCTTCCCTTTCTCTCTCATCTGTCAAAATCATTTTCTAGAGTAACACAAAATATCAGAAGGGACTGACAGAATCAGACTTCTCTATAATTTATTCACAAGTTCTTGTACTAAAAATCATCTGACTTTCACAACAGTTGGCAGGATTTCTACAATGCGCGAAAGTGAAACTTGTCTTGGAGGTGTGTGATTCCAGGTTGTTTCAAGATTTCCAGATCTGAGAATGAGAGAATCAGCTTTTGGGAAGGTGGGGAAGGTGAGTTTCCCATGGCTTAATGTGACCTTAGAAATCCAGAAAGGTCAGGCTGAATATCAGTGTATAATGCATAAATTTCTTCAGGCAGTGTAACAGATGACAGATGCTCATCTGTGAAAAACCTGAGAAATGTTTTTCAACTTGTTCCTTACATAAAGGCAGAGAATACAGATCATCCCTATCACATGTTTTCTTTTTTCTGTAGGAAATTTTCCTGTGCAGGGCACTGGCAGTGGCAGCTTGCACCTGAGTGTGTTGTCAGGCTGCTGCTGGAGGCATGAGGAGGTGGAGGGAGCCTGTGATTCCTTTTAGGTGATTCTTGTGTCTCTGGGGTATTCCTGTCCCACTCTGCCACTCCCTGGGAAATCTTGTTCCCTCTGCTCATGTTCTTGTGAATGCCATGATGCTCTTACAGCTCTGGACATGGGATTGGGAATGAGAGATGAGACAAGCTGTAAAGAAGGGAATGTTCACTTTTCCTGCTGCTGCTGGAAATAATGAGCCCTTATAATGTCTGATTTTTTACACCACAGATGTGTTCAAAAGGCTGAATTGCCTCTCCTTCCCCTTGGTCACCTCTCTTTTTCCTTTGTTTACCATGTCCTGTCCCATTTTGACTTTTTGACTTTTTCAACCACTGCACACAGCTCTTCCCAATTTTCCACCCCCATCCAATGCCTTTCTGAATATCCTGCCTCAGCTTCTGCAAGTCATGGCACAGTTCCCCTTCCTCCCAACATCACCTCCCTGATTGCTGAGTGGGGACAGAAGTCCTGTCCCTGGAAAGACTCTAGTGCAGCATCTTCCCATCCTTGGACAAATGAGATTGCAGCCTGTGCTAGCTGTCCAAAAGCAACTTTTAATGTCTGTTGGCATGGAGACAAGCATTTGAGCAATTGGCACTGACATACCTGCTTCTCTTGAGCAGGGAGAGGGAACCTCCAGCTGGATCTACTTGCAACTATGGTCATATGGACCTTTCCCTGTGCTGCTCCTGCCCTCCCTGGCATCTCCCTGTGGGCATTGAGTGGGATGGGGGGTGAGTCTCCCTTGCAGGGAGGTGGTGTGGAGTGGCCCATCCACCTCATCCCTTCCTTGCCTCTCAGGTCCTCCTGAGCCACAGGACTTGGCCTGTGTTCTTGGCACAGAGAATGCCTCTCTGGCTCCCTCAGCACTGATGTGCTCTGTGACTCTGGTCGTCCATGAACGGCTTTCCAGCCTAATCCTCGACAAATAACTTCCAGCAGCTCTTCCAGGATCTCTGTCTTTTCCCTCCAAAGTGAATAGTGTCGCTGAAGTGCCAGCAGTGACTGAAAATGAATGAATGAGCAGCTTCAGGTGGTTTCTGATTCACAGCCAAGCTGCAGCTCAGGGCTGCACTCTGGATTTCCATCACGTTCACACTGTCAGCCTTACCCCAAGCCCAGCACTTGCTTTTCTCTGTGTTTCTGTTGAGGATTTATTCTGCACCCCCTTGTGTGTGTCTGAACTCTTCCATTGGCAGTTGTGGTTCTGTCTCTCCTGATAGAAGTCCTTGAGAATGACAGGATTGATTTTGGATCTGCTGCAGCTGCACCAGCCATCCTCTGCAGCCTCTGCTCAAAACACCTCTGTAATTCCTCATGTGTCTTTGGGTTTCTGTGCTGCATTTTGGGCTGTTTAACACCTGAAAGCCCATCCATACACCGAGTGCTGCAGGCACAGGCACTGTTCCAGCAAGCTGTGCCTCTGGCTCCCTGGATTTGCAAGCCTCTGTTGCCTGTAGCACAAGTGAGGAGCTGTGAACCCTCTCCATGAGCCCCTGCATGCCCAGGACTCTTGGCAGACCCATCACCCCACAGCGATGTCTCAACTCTTTGGGTCAGATCCTGCCACACTGAAGAGCCCTGCCTTGCAGAAGGCTGAGCTTGGAGAGCATGTGACACAAGGAGCCAGAGCACGGAGAGTGTGGGACATTGCAACCATCTTGGGAGCAGCCTCTTCCCTCCACAGGTGCTGAGAGGCATTAGGGGAGGTGAAGCCCCATGGTGGGCACTGGAGGGCTGCTCTGACACCAGACAAGGTCTTTCCCTTGCAGTATGGTGGTGGCTTTGTACATCCTTCCATGGGTGAGACCATCCCTGGCGCTGGTGTGATTCACAGCAACAAGGTCTGTGTCAGTAAATCAGTGCAGCACCAGCAGGAGAAATGCTGTGCCATCACCTGAGCTGTGCCTTCACCTGAGCTGTGCCTTCACCTGAGCTGTGCCCAGCACCTAAACTGTGCCCAGTGCTAAAGTTCCACCACTGAGACCTCTCAGCACAATGGGATCCTGCTCCTGCACTCCCAGCTGAGGTGCCCACAGGTATCCCTTGACATCAGGGCTCTTTAAAGGCACCTGGATGGTGGTGATCAAAAAAATCCTGTTCCTGTTCTACTTCTTGGCATGCACAGAGCAGGTTTTCAAGCTAATACATATATGGCTGGGAGCAGGAGTTTCAGATCTCTGGGAGGCAGATGGGCCCTTTCCCTGCAGGAAGCCTTGACCCCTGATGGTCCAAGGTCTCCAGGAAAGCCCAAGGACACAGAGTTTATTATGGGGATGTTTTAGAGAAAACCCCAAGGACACAGGGTTTATTATGGGGATGTTTTAGATTTATAAAGGGGATATTTTAGAGAGGAAGAAAAGGTGGTAAAGGGATGGATATAAGTAATTAGGGGAAGAACACACAAGGGATAATATGGGAATATTGGGGTGGCCCTGATGTAATGGGGTTGTGCTGGCCCAGGGGGATGAGCTCTTCCGGAGGAGCGGGAAGGGAGCCCGAACTCCGCCTCGGGGGTACCGGGGTGCCGGGTGTACCGGAGTTACCAGGGGTACCAGAATGCCAGGGGTACCAGGGTACCGGGGGTACCGGGGTTACTGGGAGTACCGGGGTTACCGGGAGTGCCGGGCGTACCGGAGGT